TGTGGCTCAGTGGGTAAGGCACTGGCCCTATATACCGAGGGTGGCGGGTTCAAATCTGGCCCTGTCCAAACTGCAACAAAAAAATAGCCAGGCATTGTAGCGAGTGCCTGTAGTCCCAGCTACTCGGGAGCTGAGGCAAGAGAATCACCTAAGCCCAAGAAGTTGAAGGTTGCTATGAGCTGCGATGCCATGGCACTCTACCAAGGGTTAATAAGTGAAACTCTGTCTCCAAAAAAAAAAAAAAAAAATCTTGCAGTGGTCATTCAGGTTAGTTTTCCTGCAGGGAGCATGAGTGCTGGTAAGAATATTTGTGAAAACAATCAGAAAAGATGTTCCTGGTGATCCACGTCTTTTTGTAAGCATAGTAACAGACTAGTGAGAGATTCACTCCTTGAAAGTAGCATGCCTTTGTCTATCACAGCAAGTTTACCCTATGTGTGCCTGCTGCATTAGCACATCCCAGCACAGTTATTCTGTACTTGGCATCCTTAACACCTGCAGGGGCTATCTCATATCTCTCCAGCAGCAGTCAATGACTTCTGGAGATAGTAACACCAAAACAATAATGTTTCACCAGAAGATAATGTTATAATGTCAGATTATCTTTGGCAATGAGCTTGGGACTCTGGTCAATGAATTTCTATGCTGCTTCATGATGCTATCACCATAAATATTTTAAAAATTAATGCTGTATCTTATCTAAATTTTTGAAATCAGTCCATTAAATATTCATAGTTGCCTTCAATTTTTGGTTCACTGTGATAGGTCTTGCTTATTTCATGATCTGTGTACCATTAAGTGGCATGTGTTCACTGCAATACTGACAAATCCACCCTTGCAGTACATGATTGAGATCTTCACTTTTAGCTTTATCAAGAGTTTTCCTAGTTTTAATTAATTTCTGTTTACACTTTAAGCATAAAACTCAGAAGTTTATCCTTCTGTTTCTTCAGGTCATACTTGATCATTACAACACCATTCCCTTCTTAAAATGTTTTACACTTACACTACTATACAATTTCTTTACTCTTTCTTTCTTTCTTTCTTTTTTTCTCTTCTCTTTTCTTTGAGACAAAGTCTCCCAGTAGAGTGCTGTGGCATCATAGTTCACAGCAACTTCAAACTCTCTCGGGCTCGAGTGATTGATTCTCTCATGTCAGCCTTCCATGTAGCTGGCAATACAGGTGTCTGCCACAATGCCTGGCTAATTTTAGAGACAAAGTCTCACTCCAGCTCAGGCTGATCTTGAACTTGTGAACTCAGGCAATCCACCCGCCTCGGCCTCTCAGAGTGTAAGCCACTTGCCAGCTACTATACAATTTCTACACTAGCTTGACTTTCTGTGCTGTAGATAAACACAAATGCTTCCTCTTTTTCCTATCACTGTTACCAATAGGGGTGTCTCTTTGACCTTTTTAATAATATCTTTACAAAACAAGAGAAAACAATAAGCAGAAAAACACAATGAGGTCCTGAGGGACATAGCGGGAATTTAGCATTGCTGCTTCTTGCTGCACAAGTGTTTTTATTATATTTTTTGGGCCTGGTTGTGTGGGAGAAACTGGGAATGCATGGAAAGGCTGTATCACCAGGTGAAGGAGGCAAGGAGGGTCTTTTTCCCTTGAGTATGCTGAATAAACTATGTGTTGAGTGCCAGCATTTTGATTGCAATCCATCACATGAGGCCAAGTGGGAAATTTTCCATTTGTGGTATCATGTCAGTGCTGAAAAATATTATATGATATTTTAATCTTTTCCAGTGGAAACATATTTATTACATATTTTTTTAAAAAACAACATGGACAAAAGAATAGGGCCCTAACAAGAAACACATATATGGGCATGCATGCACAAAGAGGTAGCTTCTAATTGATAGATGCCTACTAAATGATGCTTATGGCTCAAGTCAGTATCCTTTGATATAAATTAGCATGTCAAGATACAATTCAAGTCAGTCAATTCTATTAAAAATTAAATTTGTATCTGAAGTACATTTTGGAAATTATACATCATAATTAGATGAAAAAAATTCAATATGCATGCCATCCTCCTTTCCCCCAACTATTTGAAAAACTTTTCTGAGAGCTTATGCAAAGACTTCTTCCAGAACCCTGGTAGAGCCTCTTAGTTGTATCAGGTGTGCTCAATAGTTGATGACTGATTTTTTTGTTTGTTTGTTTGAGAGAGAATTTCATTTTGTTGCCCTTAGTAAAGTGCCATGGCATCAGAGCTCATGGCAACCTCAAACACTTGGCCTTAAGCAATCCTTTTGCCACAGCCTCCCAAGTAGCTGGGACTATAGGCATCCACCACAATTCCTGGCTACTTTTTAGAGATGGCATCTCGCTCTAGCTCAGTCTAGTCTTGAGCTCCTGAGCTTAGGCAATCTACCCACCTCGTCCTCCCAAAGTGTTAAAAGGCATGAGCCACCGCATCCAGCCCATGATTTTTATTTTGATATAATCATAACCTGTTATGTTTTCATGGTGCTTTTCAGGCATTCAGAGCATTTCTACGCACTTCTTATTTGACCCTCACAACACCTAGGTCAGGTAGAGTTGGCAGGGTATGTGCATTTTACAGCTAAAGAAAAAATTCTCAGAGATAAAGTGACTTTGCTCAGACTATACGGCCTCATATGGGGTGGGGCTAGGACTAGGCACCAAGTCCACTATTCTTTGCTTTATGCCATTGTGTTCACCAGAGCCTGGACTTCTCCTGAGGCAAGTATTAATGTATGTCTCATTGCAGTGTTTGATAAATGATAACGTTAATGGCAGAGATATTATGTAGTAAAAAGCAATTGAGAGATTCCATTTCTAAATGCTCATCAGGCTTAAAAGGGTAATTATGTAAAGAATTTAGGAAATCCAGCTACTTTCAAAGACTTGCTATAAGGGCAGATGTAACCACTGATGTTAAACAAAGTACACTATAAAGCTCAGCATTTCTATTTAGCTGAGAGCAAGAACTTTTAGATATTCCAACTCCCAATCATGCAACAAATATTTGTTCTCCTCACTGAGAATAGAGCAGTACGCAAAACAGTTCCTGTCCTCAGGGAGCTCACACTCTGGTGGAGGGGGACAGAGCACAAACAAATGAATATACACAGTAACAGTGTTGCGTAGGATAGAGAAGTAGGAAATGGGGCAGAGAGGCAGCTCTGTCAGGGAAGTCCTATCTGATTAGGAGACACCTGAGCAAGGACTTAAAAAAATCTAGGGAGTGAACCATATTGGGGAAACATGGCTCCTGCAGACCAAAAAGCAGATAGAAAGGCCCTGGGGCAGGAAAGAAAATTCTGTCATTCTTAAAAGTGTAGAACAGCGGTTCTCAACCTATGGGTCGTGACCCCTTTGAGGGTCTCCCTACAAGGATAACTTATTAAATAATTAAATCAATAATTTCAGATCTAGTTTCTTCTGCACATAAACCTGCACACTGTAAGTGGTTCATTGGCACAGCATCTTCATGCTAGTGGCTAATCTTATAGATAAAGAAGAAGCTGATAGAAACCCAAGAATATGAAGAATGATACAATCCAGAGTCAAAGTTTATAAGAGAATGAGCTGAAGCCATTTTTCTCATTGGAGCAGGATTTGCTGAGCTTGAGGAGCAAAAACATTACACGGAGGGGACGACAAAGGTTTACAGCGCAGTTAGTGAGAGCATCAGCTGCTACAAGGCATTCATTATGAGCAAAAGAAAAAGAGCCCTGCAGACACCCCTAGATACCTTTTAAAGCCACTGACTTCAGTGATGAGTTCCCCTCTTCCAGCAACAGACTCTAAACCTGGTCCTCCACCACCATCTCCATCTTCTCCAGCACAATCTCCATCACCATCTCTGATTCATAGTAGCCTGCCTCTTGTGTCAAATATGCCCCTTCCAACAAGCAAGACACTGATGCAACATTAGGTGACTGTCAACCTGTAACATTATTTTTTGAAATTTCTCTGATCTCCTACGTAAACATTTTGTATGACATTGTTTTTATGCTCCCTTTGAATTAAAAGAGTTTCTGTAAGTTATACAATACAAAGGTATTACTATTAATGCAATATTACACCATATTATTATTACTACATATGAGCCATGATAGTATTGTTTTTGTTATTATTACAGTATATACACTGTTCATTGGGGATCTTGGTTATATACAAATCAGACTTAAAGATTTCTCAATAATGGTATCTCATCTGTAACTCAAGGACCACTTGTATCAACTATTTTGTTCATTCATCCTATTTACCATAATGTCTTCACCATGTAGACGCTTTCAGAACAATCAGAAGAGATGTCTTTTTAGCTGGACATTTGTTGAGCTGCAGTGTATTACAGAAGCCACACTTTTCACTCGGGACATTAATTTACCCTCCTCATGTGTTTTTGTCTATTCTATGGAAATATCCAAGATATGGGGCATCTTTACAGCTTAATGATCTCCAAACCCAACACTCAGTGGCATGAAATAACCACCATGTTGTTGTCTTGTGATTCTGTGAGTTGACTGAAGTCAGACAGAAGCTCTGCTGGTCTCCCAGGGCATACGCTGAAGTTACCCCAGAGCCTGACATGTCCTCTGCTGGTAGATTGCAGCCACCACATTCAGCCTTCTGACATCAATGGCAGTGAGTCAGAGAAACAGTTCCCCAAAGACTGTGCTCACTGGCTCACTGAGCTGTTCATGTACATAACCACTTGTAACAGGGTCTGACACATACTAAGCCCTAATAGCTATTAGCTATTAGGTTGTCTTCAAGGCTGCGGCGGCTGGAGGTGGCCAGCGGCAGCCACTCAGAGCCTGTGTCGAGGGCTGTTACTGCCCCGCCTCGCGCTGTACCTGGTGCCTGGGGAAGCTGCGTTGGCCTGGATGGTCCCGGTAGGGGGCGGGGGAGGTGGGAGGCTCCGGAACCTCGTGGAGACCCCGCCGCGAGCCCGAGCTTCCCGCGCCTTGTCCTCACAAACCTGAAGGCGCGAGCCAGGGAATACTGATCCCCTCCCCTCCTGCCAGGTCTGCAGTCAACGGAAACCTCCCAGATTCGCCGACCCTATTCGAAGGACCTGACCCTGCTAAACTGCTCCTCATGGGCGGTTACCTGGGCAAACTTGGCATGCCACAGCCTGCGCCCGCGCAGGAGGGCAGGGATCAGCAGGAGAGGCTGGACCGCTGCCCAGCTGCCTGGCCCCCGCCTCCCGCCCTGCGGAACCATCATGTTCACCACGTTTGGCCCTCGCTCCCCACACCTTTGCTCCGGGCCCCCAGGAGGCCTTGCCACAGGGACTGTGGGACTTCATCAAAGCGCTACGTAATGACACCTCGAAGGTGGCATCCGCTCCGACAGGCCCGGTATTCCCTTCTGGGGGTACTTCCCACAGTGTGCTGGGATGGTTGCCCCAGCAAGAAGATCCTGCTGTCTGTTCGTCATTTCAGGAGGGTGGGCGGCCCAGTGCCTGTGAGGATCCCCCCTCTTGACAGAAAATGGACTCGTTCTGCAGGACCAGAGCAGGTGATCAGCTCAGCACTGTCCTCGCCACCACCTGATGCCCCAAACCCAAGGGCAAAGGATACTGTCCAGAGTGCACTCCAAGACAGGACCAAAAAGACAGTGGGTGGAGAAGACCAAATATTTGCGGATGGTCAGGAAAGTCAAAGAAGGTGCCACGACAGCAGTGGGACTGCACATTCAGCCCTTGAGCCCCTGGTGGCCAAAGGAGTCCCGGCTTCTTTGGTGCCTGAGCCTGAGTCTCTGAAGAGAGGTCCCGATTCCCAGAGCTCAGAGAACCCCTTGAATAAGAGATCGTGCTCCTCCTGTGCGAGCTCCTTGGCCAGCACGTACACATGTGGCATCCCTGTCCACAGCCGCAATGCCATTAGCAGTTCCTACAGCTCTACCCGAGGCTTCTCACAGCTCCAGAAGAGAAGAGGCCCCAGTTCCTCACCCTCTTCATCCCACTCCCAGACACAACAGAGGCCAGCAAAGAAAATAAGAGGAGAGGAGCCGGGTCATCATTCCAGGTCTTCAACTCCACCGCTTACAGACAAGGAGTCCCAGGGAGAGAAGGCTGCAGACACCACCACGTGGAAGGAACAAAACTCCTGGAGTTCCCCATCTACACCTGGCAGCTCTAGGCCACGAAAACGCAAGTTTCAGCTGCTGCCATCTAGGCGAGGGGAACTGCTGACTTTGCCTCCACCTCCCCAGCTTGGCTATTCAGTCACTGCTGAAGACCTGGACTTAGAAAAGAAAGCTACATTCGATTGGTTCAACAAGCTTTTGGGGGACACGACTGATGCTGCCTCCAACTATCCCTCTGAAACTCCAACCACCATGCAGCCTTCATTTACTTTTACCCCTTCTCCTGCAGAGACTGCGTCCTCCATGGCCTCTCTCCCAGATGCAAGCAGTAACCCACTGTTGCAGAGCTGGAATCAAATGCAGAATCGCCCAAGCCTCCCATCCTTCCCAGAATCTGCTAGACTGGCAACCACCCAGGATCATCCATCTCCAATGACACACGGCCTTCTGGCTGGAATGGGCTCTTCACAGTCAGGGCCCCTTCCAGCCACCACTATAGACTCAACGTCCACAGTCATGTTCATGGAGCTGGTCCCTGCTTCTTCCATAATACCAGCCACCGAAATGAGGTCAACTTCAGACCTTCCTGAAAAGACATCTGTCCAATCCCAAGCCCTATCTGCCCCATCCCATACCCCCAAACGAGAATTTCATTTTGGAATGCTGAGCACTCCACCTTCTAACCCTCCATCTTCTGCGGCTCCTGCTATGCCTTCCTCATCTCCCTTGTTCATGCCCCTTTCCATGGCCCCACCTAGCAGCCAGAAGAAAGACAGCCAGCTATCTGTGCATTCGTTCCTGAGCACAGCACACTCCAGCTTCACCCTCCCCACGACAACCATCACCTCGGCCCTGAGCTTCCAGCCTGTCTTTAGCAACAGGGAGCTGCCTCCATCTATGCCCTTGTCAGCTCCCTTCTTCAAGCACACAACTATTCAGGCCAGTCCTACAGTCACAACTACCCCTGTCTTCACTGGCCTGGCCACTGCCACCTCTGCAGTGGCATCTATCAGCACAGGCAGTACTTCTGGAGACCCTGCTTTGAAGTCTGCTTTTGGCCATGGCCTGAGCAGTGTAAACAGCACCAAGAGCAGTGTGAGGCGTATCACCCCTTCCACTGCACAGCCCTTTCTCTTCGGGGCACCCCCTGCCTCTGGTGCCAGCTTTACCCCAGCCAAGAGCTCCACCTTCCAGGTTGGCAAGCGTACTGCCAAGCGTGTATCAACCATGGTCACCACCTCTGGTCAGTCCCCTCTCAGTGCTGTTCAGACAACCAGTAGCAGCAGCTCTGTCGTCTTCCATGGCTTTGGTGACACCTTGACCACCTCATCCCCAGCCCCCACCAGCCAGCCAGCACTGATGCTTAGTAACACAATGACCCCAGCATTCAACATTCCCTTTGGCTCAAGCAACAAACCTCACCTCCCATCATTTCCAGGAGCCAGTCCCCAGCCTGCATTTGGTGCCGCTGATGGGCAGCCACAGGGGAATAGCAAACCAGCCCTTACCCCAAGCTCTTTCACATTTGGAAACTCTGCAGCCCCAGCTCCACTTACAAATCCAGCACCAACCCCAGGCCAGCCAGCCTTTGGCAGTGCTGCACATTCAGCTTTCAGAAGTTTGGTAACCATAGCCTCTGCCTTCAGCACACCTGCCAACACTCAGCCAGCCTTTGCTAGCACCATGGCTGTTTTCTCCTTTGGTGAAGCCAGCACCTCCAACATTGGAGCTATAACCCAAACCAGCAGCAGTTGGCTCAGTAGTTCAGTATTTGGCCCCTTCTCATTTGGGGTGTCAGCAGTCCCACTTGGCAGTGGTGATACTGGGTTTAACTTTGGTTCAGCCATCACCTCTGGCTTTGGACCTACAACTCCTATCACCAGTAGTGGGACCAGTGGCTCAGTGCTTGGCCCCATGATGGGGTCATCAGAAGTCTCTGCTGGGAGAGCTGACTTTGGGATCAATGTGTCTGCCCCAGGCTCCAGCTCCACATCTGGAGCATTTGGCTTTGGAGCAGGAAAGAATAGAACCACAGGCATTACCACTGTCTTTGGGGGGAGCGTAAGTCAGAGCATCCCGGGCACACCCAGCCGGACAAGCCAGGTCTTCAGTGTGGCCAGCACTCCTGACAATAAACCTGTGTTTGGAGCCACCTCCAGTGCCACCTTCCATCAGAACACCACCACCACTGCAGTGGGCACATCGGGCAGCAGCCCCTCCTTTGGAGTGTCCTCAACACCCACCCAAGGCTTTGTTGGAGTTGGACCCATCAGATTGCTGGTTCCTTCATTTTCCATTGGTGTGGGATCCAAGACCCCTGGGGTTCGGCAGCGGCTGCAGGCCCGAAGGCAGCTTACCCGCAAAAAGTAGCCTTTGTCCCTTGACATTTCCCATATATGGACGTTGACACCTGCTAGGAGTAGCCTTCCACCCTTTGCATTCCACAAAACAAACGGAACAGGCATCAGCCACCAGCAGGGGAGTGGCATCACGCCATGGTCTCTAAGATAAAGCTAAATTGAAAATCATTTTAAAACAATTATATCCTACAAGAGACAAGGAAGTATTAGCCTCCACTTACGAGAACTCACTGGAGGAAAATGAGCTTACCTGCAAAAAGTAGCCTTTGTCCCCCAATCCCTTTCCCATATATGGACACTGGCACCTGCTAGGAATATTCTTCCACCCTTTGCATTCCACAAAACAAATGGGGAACAGGCATCAGCCACCAGCAGGGGAGTGGCATCCCTGGTGCCCTTTGCCTTCTCCTGTGGGAAGCACCTGCCTTGGAGGAAGGGAAGGCTGGTTCCAGCAGGGCAGAGCCCAGGACCTTAACTTGGACAAGCCCACTGGTGAGGCTGCAGAACATTCTGCACATTCAGTTCACTCACTTCCCTGACTCTTGCTTAGTGTGTAAGCTTACTCAGGTGGCCTCCCTGCCCACCTTTCTGCTGACAGCCGTCTTTGCTGGCAGCTATAAGGTGCAGCCCACTTGGATGTCTGTGCATTTGATAGGATTGGGAAAGACTTCTTATCCCTAAAACCTTTCATGACTTGGCTTGGCTCTCAGAAGTGGCTCTCTTCCTCGAGTTCCCTTAGGGGACTCTTTCTCCATTTCCTGCTGCTTTGTCCCTTGTAGGATTTAATCATTTTAAAGTTATCTGTATTTGGCTTTACCTTGGAGACCACAGTGTGTGTTGGCTTTACCATTTTCCTCCAGTGAGGTCTCATAAGTGGAAGGTAATACTCCTCGTCCCTTGTAGGATTTAATTGTTTTAAAAGGATCTTGAATTTACCTTTATCTTGGACGGTGTGTGCTGCCTTTGCCATTTTCCTCCAGTGAGATCTCATAAGTGGAAGGTAATACTCCCTCGTCCCTTGTAGGATTTAAGTGTTTTAAAATGATCTTGAATTTACCTTTATCTTGGAGACCACGGTGTGTGCTGCCCTTGCCATTTTCCTCCTGCCACTTCTGAGTCAATGTCTCATCTCCAGTCCTCTCTGCCAGTTTGGCCCCTAAAAGTTTGGTGGCTCCAGACCAGTAGCATGGCAGAGCTAGGGGTGAGCTACTTCCTCCCATGAGGGCAAAGCTCTGAGAGTAGGCAGGATACCTACCCCTGCTGTCAGCTCTCTTCTACCCCACCTCCCCAGTGGCCTCATGGGGCCCTTGTTTGCCTCTCTGAAATTATATGTGGGAGGCCTTGTCCTGTGTTATTTGTCTAATGCTCATGCCTATGACTGTTTGAGGAAGAATTGCATTGTATGAGTGGTGGCCTGTTGGGAGTGCTGGACTTCACTGCTTCAAATTTTCTGGGGTGTATCTAAAAGAATATGGAAAGTAGAATCACTTCATGGCTGCATGTGCTGACCCTGAATTTCAAACGGTGTTTTGCCTTTAAGGGCTGGCAGCCCTGGGGGCTGGGGGTGGGGAAGAGGGAGCAAATATTTTCCCTCTGTATTTCCCTCCACTTGTCTGACCTCACTGGAGGCTACATCACATTTAGTCTAAGTTAAAAAACCTACATTAATGAGCCATACTTTAAAGTTGTTTCTTAGTTATTTTAAAATAACTAAGAGAAAGTTAGTTAGTTAGTCTCTCTCCTGAGAGAGCCCTTCCCAGTCCTTCCCCTTTTCCTACTTTATTCCACAACCACATGCTCAGGCCTAAGAGCCCCCCTGTCATGTCCACCCTCTTTGAGAGAGGTGTGAATGTTTGTGTGTAAATTACAAGAAAAAATGTTTAAAGATGTGTTAGTAAAATAGAAATTAGTTTTTCTATTTAAGCTAAGTTGCCTTCTAAATTCTGTCAAGCCTGGTTCACTGAGGTGGTAAAGTATAAACACTATTGACTAGAAAGTAGCTGTAATTTAAGTTGTGTCTTCTGGACACATTCTATACAACGTAATTCTTATTTTATGAATAATGTGATGTGGATGTAACTGGTTCCCTCCACCTTAGTGACTGAGGTTGAATGTTTTGTGGCTGGGACTGCTCTTCTGCACCCCCAAAAGAGCTCTGAAATCAGAGGTGGAGCTAAGGAAGCAGCCTGACCCTTATATCCCAAATGCTATCACGGTTGGAGGGGTGGAGATGGGCTGGGTGTGGATGTCAGCATCTCCCTCACTCTTAGTTTAAGTACTCTGAGTGAATTTACCTCAGTCTGAAGACAGGATAGTGGCACAAAAATGCCCCAAAAGGGGTTGTCCTGGCACAGTGTGAATGTGAGTGTGCACCTGAATGCATGCTGGACAGGAACGGAGGCTCAGACTTCCAATTACAAGTAAACACTCAATTCTTGTAGAATCTCCTTGGAATTTTTAAAATAAATGTAAGACTTTTTTCATGCTTATGTCATTCAAAATAAGAAAAACTAGTGATCAAAAAAAGATAAAAGATAAACAAATAGGGATCCTCAAACTTTTTAAACAGGGGGCCAGTTCACTGTCCCTCAGACCATTGGAGGGCCGGACTATAGTTTAAAAGGACAGGCAGCGGCTAAGCAGGACAGGCAGCTGCAGCAAAAACCCCCTGCGGGTGGATAAATGTCCTCTGCAGGCTACATGTGGCCCACAGGCAGGCCGTAGTTTGAGGACGACTGCAATTCAGGGGATCCAGGGCCACCTTCACTTCAGACCAACTGGCTACAAATTCGGGGGTTCCCTCAACCACATTTTTGGTTGATAATTCGCTAGAATGATTCACAGAACTCTGGAAAATGTTATATTTATGAGCATAGTTTCTTAGAGTGAAAGGATACACATTAGAACCATAGAAGGAAGAGACACCTAGAGCAGAATCTGGAGAAGGTCCAGATGTGAAGTCCCATGTCCTGGGAATGAACACATTCCCCTCCTACTATCAACAGGGTGAGACAGTACACACAGAGTCCTGCCAACCCAGAAAGCTCAGCCAAGCCTCAGGTGTTCGGGCTTTTTTGTGAACTTGATCATATAGTGATTGTGTGGCTGACCATTAGCCTTCAGCCCCTCTGGAGGGTCAGAAGTCATAAGGCATGTCCCAAAGCCCCCAACATACATCACCTTCTTAGACTGTCTGATGACTAAAGCCCCCAGGAAGATAATGATGCTCTGATGAGGCAGGACACTTCAGGGACCCTGAGATTCCCTCCCAGTAGCTGAAGCCAGAGACCAGACATCTCTTCAGGTGAAGAGAATTCTTTGCCCCACACTGTTCCACCTGTATTGGGGAAGACACATTCACCATGAACTTGCTTGCCCTGTGTAGCTGCCATGACACTATCCATAAATATCCTTGTTTCCTCTCCTCTGGCCCGTAGTGGGTTTTGCTTCCTTCCTTAAGCCCTTTGAAGACAGCTGTGCCCTAATGACTTGCCTTAGTAGAGGACATGTAAGAGGAAGTGATGAGAGGGAAGAAGCTACAGAATCAATGTGGGATTTACCACATTCCCTTTCCTTGACCTCAGGGCCTGTGGAAACATGTTAGGATGAAGGGCCCATGAGCCTCCGTCCTTGAGAAACTAGGAATAAATGCCCCACCCTGGCCCTTGATACACTGTCCACACCAGCGAGTGATAACCCTTTGTTCTGTTAACCGGCTAAGATTTGGGGATTTTTATGGTAGCACAACATATCCGGGTACCCAGATATTCCCCAGATCCTGGTGGTGGATCTTGGGCAAGTTATTTAGCTTCTCTCTGCCTCAGGTTTCTTCCTATAAAATGGAGACAATAGTACCTGCCTTTTGAGGCTATGGCAAGAATAAATGTTATGCATTGTATTAGTTTGCTAGAGATGTCACAGCAACGTATAAAGAACTGGTGGCTTAAACAATTATTTTCCTATAGTTCTGGAGGCTGGAGGTTCAAGATCATGACCGCAGGGTTGGCTTCCTCTGAGGCCCTCTCCCTGCCTTGTACATGGCTGTCTTCTTCATCCCTCTTCACATAGTCATTCCTTTCTGTGTGTCTGTGTGTTCATGTCCTAATCTCCACTATGTATAAGGACAACAGTCATACTGGATTAGAGTTCATCCTAATGACCTCATTTTAATTTCATTACCTCCTTAAAGGCCCTATCTCTATGTACAGTCACATTCTGACATACTAAGGGTTAGCACATCAACATATGCATTCTAGGGGTACACAATTCACCTCATATTACACATGGACATAAGTTATAGTAGAACAGTACATGGCACAGTAAATGTGCAAGTCAGTTAGTAATTATGTGGTTGATACCCTAATCTCTTGTACATAATGTTGAGAAAATATGGCCAAGACTTAGTGTTACCTGAATAAAGTTGCTAAACACTGTGTTTGATGTTATCTCAAGTTAATTGATAATTAACAAATAGTCATGTATGCTTAGGCACAAAACATTTTAAAAATACAAATAAGCCACTCTGAAAATGCTATATGCCATACTAGCTGAAATCTGATAGTCGGGAAAAAGTAGAACTAGAGGCAGTAAAGATTAGTAGCTGGCAGGGGGCATGGGGAAGGTTGGGAAGAATAGACAGAGTAGAAAGGATATTTAGGGCATTAAAACTACTCTGTATGATACTAAAATGGTGGATACACAACATGTGTCTAAACTCATAGAATGTACAACATGAAGTTGTTGCCTTAATGTAAGCTACGACTTTGGATAATAATGGCATATCAATGTATATTACTCAATTGTTCTAGATGTACCTTTCCAGTGGGGGATGTTGGTTGTCTGGAGGCTGTGAATGAGTAGGGACAGGCTCCAGATGGAACTCCCTATACTTTCTGCTCAATGTTGCTGAGTACCTGACTTTGCCTAGGAAATAGTCCATTAAATTTTTTTTTTTTTTTATTGAATGGTAACTGTGTACATTGATGCACTTTGGGGGTACAGTGTGGTGTT